GGTGTGATTTGCTGAGCTCAGCTAACTCGATAAGCTGGATGAGGGATGGCAGGCTGAGCCTCCACGTTATTCCTGTTACACTCCCATCGCTCTGTACCGTGTCCACCTCATGTGGCACTTATGTGTCTTGACAGTGAAATTAAGCGTGGTAAGGGAAAGGTTTCCTCTTTCCCACTGACACCTTGCAGCTGACACTGGAGCTGATACCCAGCCGGGCCTTTTATTCTGGTGTGTCTGCAGTTTAACACCCCGGGATCATAGCACTGCTGCTGCTGCTGCTGCTGCACCCTGCTCCTTAGGACAAAGCCCAGCACGTTAAGCATGGAATCCCACACTGCTTTGGGTTGAAGGGAGCTTAAAGCTCATCCAGTTCCAACCCAGGGACACCTTCCACTAGAGCAGCTTGCTCCAAGCCCCATCCAACCTGGCCTTGAGCACTGCCAGGGATGGGGCAGCCACAGCTTGATTCTTAAGATGAGCTTTAAGGTCCCTTCCAACCCAAACCATCCTAGGGTTCTGTGATCTTCGCAGGGAGCAGAGGGGGGTAATGTGTGATCTTTGCACAGGGAGCAGTGAGCACATCCTTACAGAGACCAGCTCTGCACATCTGCATGGATGGCAGAAGAAGACAGATAGACCCTGTTGTCTTTCTAATCCCCTTTGTAACGTGGGGGCTCCCCTCCTCACCTCTGTGCTTATCTCCCCTCCAGGTTTCAAAGCCCCACTAAATCATATCCATCACCCGCCTCGCATTAGCAAGGCAAGCTCCAGGCTGTCACCGCACCTCATGTGCGGGCATATGTTCCAGCACAGGGCCGGGTGATTTAGAGGGGACCATTCACATTCCCAGTCATCGCTTCAGATAAACAGGCTGTGAGTTTAATGATTCCAAGGTAAAGCTCTTTTATTAAGACAACAGAGGGAACTTTTTTTCAACCACAGCTGACATCACTATAATAAATCACCATCGTGTCTTGTGGGATTGAAAAAGCCAAAATCCTGTCAGAACTGATTTGCCTGGCTACTCGTGCCTCCGGAGCAAACCATGTGTTTTTAATCAACAGATCTTTGTTTTGCATTTCCAAGACCCTCGCGCTCTTTAAATAGTTAGCGTTCACCAGAGGGAGATTTTAAATTCAACATGTTGCTTCCTCACTGAGGAGATTAGGAAACAGGACACCCCATTACAGACTTACTGCGCTGGTCCGGGGGCTTTTGGAGGTTGGTTTGTGTTATAGAGCAGTGCCGTAAAGGGAAAGGCTTCCCCATACTTGGCTTTAGCACATTAGACCTTTTCTCTCCCCAAAACCACCTCCTGCTTCTATGGCTCCAACCATCTACTGAGGTAGAAACCCCTGTATTTCTAGTCAAGGAAATACCACCTAGAGAGGTGCCCAAAGCCCCTGAAGCCACCAGGGGTGTATCCCCCTTTACCCCCCATCCCATGGGCAGCCCTGCAGCTGGTACCCTGTGCCCAGCATCCTCCTGACTGTCCCTGCTCTCACTGCAGATCCCAACACTGCTTCTTCCTGCCCTGGATGTGCCAGGTTTTCCCACTGCATCCCCCCCACACCAGCAGTGTGATCCGGGGGGGGGGGGGAAGTGTCACCTCCCTGCTCCAGTTTCAAGGTCAGGCTGAAAGCGGAGATGTCAGGATCCTCTTTCCCACTGTGCAGGAACCCCTCCTGCCCTGCCTGCTTGGCACAAATGTCAGGGCTGAGAATAAACCGGGGATGGGGCCCTGTGCCAGTCAGTGTGGCAGGGAACAACCAGAACCTGTGGTGTCCACAGGGTGATGCCCGAGGGTTCCCAACAGGGGCACATTGGGGCCTGATTCCCTGTTGTATGGTGGCTTTGGGTTGGAAGCCCTGCTGGGAAGGGCTGGTGACCAGGGACCTTGTCCCCATGGAGGATGCTTTGCAATGCTGCTGCACCCTGGGTGTCTGCTCTCCTCCGGTTGTGCCACCAGTGCAGGCTCATGGTGGGATGCAGGGAGCAGGGAAAGGTGGGGACACACACACCCCCCCCCAAGGGCTCCCCCTTGTCTCATCCCAAGGTGCAACCCCACCAACAGCCCTTTGGGCTGCACTGGAGCAGGTCTAAGGGGGGACAAAGTGACCTCCTTTGGAGCCAGCCCCACTCCTCCACCGCAGTGGCAGTGCCGAGCATCCCCACCGCTCTCATGGGCACTTCTCCCCCCAGGACCACAGCAACCCCCCGGTGCCCCCCCTTAACCCCTGCATCAGGGATGAACTTTTCCCCTTCGGACGAACTCCTCTCAGCCCCTTCCTGCATGACCCCCTGTGGGCAGCATTAAAGTGACCTGTGCTCCAGCACCCTCCCACAGAGCCCATCCAGATCAAAGCCCGAGCAGGGAATCAAAGCATGTGACGGGCAGGTGTCCGTCCCCCTCGACAGGACCACGATGAATCACAGGCTCTATCCCACAAGGAGATCAAACCGGGCCTCCCGCGGCTGTTGGTTAAAGCCTGCCTTCAAGTTACCCTAATTACAGCTTTCCCCTCGCCTCCCCCGGCTGACTGCTGTCCCATGACCGCCCCTTTCACTCCTTAAAACAAAGGCTGCAGTGAGCAGCTCGGGGCAGCCGGAGCTGCTTGGCCCCGGCCATGCTTTGCCCTCCCTTTCTTCTCGAGCTGCCGCAAAGCCGCAGCCTGGCAGGGGAGCCTTTCCCGAGGGATTTGCCTTCCGTGGGGTTTGGGGTGCGTTTGTTCCACTCCTGCAGCTTCCCGTTCCTTTTTGCTCCTCCTGAGCAAGGAGAATGGGCTAAAAAGCATCGCGAGTATGTGCACAAGTGTTGGGCTCACAGCAGTGGTGGGAGGCAGAGGAACCCCCTGGTCCTAAAGGCCCTTCTCAGTCCCCCTTCCCGAGGTTCTCCTCTTGCAGTGACATCAATAGTGGCATTTTGATGAGAAGGCAAAGGAAGTGCTGCTCTCCAGCAACGCTTGGCTTTGATGTGTTTCAGGGTTGCATAAAAGCAAGGCCAGGGGAGAATCAAACAGTTTCTGTAACCAAAAACTGTGTGTGTGTGTGTGTGTGAAATGCACATTTTAGACACGTCACATGGAGAAGAAGTTTTAGGTTTTTCCTTTTCCCCTTGAATGTGTGCATTATTTCACTCACACGGGGGGGGGGGGGAGCATAAAAGAAAGGCAAAAAGAAATCACAGCGTTTCACTGAGCAGCCGCTCGCAGTTGGGAAATCAATCATTCCCATGGCAGATCCTGCTCACCCCAGGGCTTATCCCCACGGAGGGACCCTCACTGGCTGGAGGGACGGGTGTCCCCTTGCCCCGGGGTGCTCAGTTGGGGGTCAGTGTCCCAGGGAGCTGCCCTTTGCTTTTGAACTTGGTTTGAAGCGGGGCCGGTTGCCACACGGGCTGTCAGTGCGGGCTGTGATTGATGGCAGCGCTGCAGGGCTTCAGTCACCAATGCAGGTTGACTCTGGCAGTGGGACAAACCACCTTCCCTGTGCCCCCTGTCCCTGCTCACAGGCCATCACTCAACCCCCTGCCCCAAACCTGACCTTTTTCCTCTCCAGAGGAGCCTTGCTAAAAGCAGCGTTTCTTCCCCAAACCAGAGGAACCTCAGCGGCATCCGGCAGCCCAGGCTCTTCCCAGTTCCCACCATCAGCATCCTCCCACCCTGCCTGCTCCACCACCAAATCCCTGCAGAGCTCCTTGGAAAGAGCTGGAAAACCCAGCCAGGAGCATGGTGCGGGCTCCTCCTGCTCGCACACACGCACGCAGCCTAATGCAGTGTTGTTCTGGTCTTGGCCTCACATTATTAACAATAATAACTGTAAAATTCTCTTACCCACCACACACAGATTGAAGTAGCCAGATAAAGGTCTCTGAGCTCCACAACCTGCTGCTGGGGGGAGATGCTTATCTAAATAAGGTGGGTTTTCTTCTAAAACCCAAGATAATAATGATAATGCTAATAATAATCATAGTAATAATACCTCTTCTTAGCCTGCTTCAAGAGCCAGATCTTATCCTAAACAAGAAAATAATTCTAAGCCCTGGAGAACGCTTTGAAAATTAATATTGATTATTAGGAATAATAGTCCTACTAGGAGCACTTCGCACTGTCTAGGGAAAGGATTCCTCCAGGGCCAGGTAATAATCACAATCATATTTAGTATCTGCACTGCACTTTCTATCCTCAAAGCGGATTAACCTCTTCTCTACAAGCTCCATTACTCAGCACCAGGCTCGCATGGATGGAGGTGAGAGCTGGGAACCTCTCCCACCCCTCATACCCCAGCATAGGTGCTCTCCAGAGCCCTTGCAGTGATCCCCAAGAGCCAGTGGCACCTTGTGTCCCTCCATCCACCCCTCTGAACCCCTCTCCTGCTGCAGCTCCGGCTGTGCCAGGTTCTCCGGGACCACACAATGTGCGTGACGTGCCATTTAACACAACACAATGAAATATTGAAAAGGCTTTCAAAACCTCAACATGTTGAGGCAGAAATCTATGGAAGATGTTTAATACTAATTCTATTAGGCATCTGAGTTAATGAATCACAACTGTAAGAAATCATGATAATCCAGAAGGCATTAGTGACAGATTAGCTTCAAAGCTACCATAAAAGTGCCATAATGCTTACCTAGTGGCATGATTAATGCCAGCAATACATAATGGCATTAAGAGGGATGGAGCTGCGCCGCAGCAGCCTCACAGCCCCTTTGCTCTGGCCATCACCCCACAGCACCCACCCGGACCCATGCACCATCTCCATCATAGGGCACCAGACCCACGCTGGTCCTGGCTCTACCATGGCCCAAATCACAGGGTTATTTGCCCAAAGGGATAAGCCCCAGGTGTTGTCCACAGACTTTCTGTCTTCTCCATCACAACAGCAGGGTGGGAGGTGGGTGCTGCAGGTGATGGTGCTTGGGTAGTGATGGGGAGGCAGAGGCCATAAAAGGGAGCTCAGCCTCACCATCACCAGCATTACTGCTGCTCCAGGGAAGGGGTAGAGGGTGCTTGCAAGTCCTGTGCTGTAGGTGCTCGAGCTGTTTTTTCCTCTACAGTGCTTCAGCATCCCCTCCTGCTGTTTGCTACCCACAGCTTGGCCTGCAGCAGCAAAGCTGATCTCCACTGAGGACCACATCAGGAGAGCTTGGAGCATTGCTTGCACTTGTTGGCTGATGGAGGTCCAGCCAAGCGTGCCCTCGCCGGGCCGGGTGCTGGCAGCCACTGCGGTCCTGAGTGTCAGCAGAAACGTAAGTGGAACAAGTTGCTATTGAATGAAACTAGACGTCTCATTATGGCTTTTCAGGATTGTTTTCCTACATCTTTATTGCTCAGGTTTGCTTAATTCTAGAGCGGATGCCTGCCAAATTGTCTATCAAATTACCTACTGGCGAGTAAACTGAGATTAGTTCACTTGTGTGCGGCCCTCATCTATTTGACTTATAGCCAAGCAAAATATGGGTTTAATCAAGGGAGAAATTGGACATGATGTTTCAATGAAAGATAGCAGGGTACTACTATCTGTTCAGCGGAAACAGGGCAAGACACAACCCAGAGGCATGGAGCAGAGCAGGGTTGGCCAGGGCAGGGCCACAAGAATCAACTGAGGGCGATCGCTCTGGGGCTGTGCGAGTGCTTTGGGGATGCTGATAAACTCATCCCTCGGCCAGAAAACTGCTTGGCTTTGTGTCCTTGTGTCCTTGGTGGGGTTGTGATCACGCAGTGGCCTTGGTTGTGTGCCCTTTGGAGCGTCTCATGAGGTTGTGCCGTGTCAGTGGTGTCCTGTGCATGTCTGGCTCCTGCCCCAGAGAGAGGTGGAGCAGGGAGCAGATGCTGCTGTTAATGCAGTGCTTGTTGATGCTGCGAGGTGGGGCTCACCCCAGGTCTCCTGCAGGTAGGGCAGGTTCTCGGTTCAGTTGAACTTGCACTGCCTCCATCCCAGCTCTTGTGATTGATGGTGTTTGAGGAGGTGAAGGAAACCATTTCACCCACTGCCCGTAGACCTGGAGCCCCTGGCAGCGTGGGCTCAGTGTGGGAAGCCAGGAGGAAGATGAAGCTGCAGAGGTCTGTGGGGAGCAAGCACAGGCAAGCGTTGGGTGCTTGCTCAGGACGTCTGCAGCTTGTGCATCAAATCTCTTTGTGCTTCCCTTTGTGCCTCCCCTTGGGAAAGCGAAGCATTTCAATAGATGGGCTGGGGGTGAGACATGGGGATGCTTCTATACCCCAACACTTGTGGGGTTTTCCATCCTTCACATCTCACTGTGCCTTGCTGTAGGGGCCTTGGGCAGGCAATACCAGCAGGCCAAGGGATGGCTATCACAACCCCTGTGTCGTTTTAAATCCCCACCTCCTGGCATCACAGGAGTGCGGGTGCATTCCTCTTCTCTTTGGGGTTTTTTGCCTTCCTCCCCTCTTTCACTTTAAGCTGTTCCCAACCCTCCCCGAGGCAAGCTCAGAACTTTGAGTCCCGAAGGCTGAAAACTGGAAGGTAAATAAAAATCACCCCAAAGTTAATTATACACTTAACAAGTCATGATTCCTCTAAGCCCGTCTCGTTCCTTGTGGGGGTCTGACTCATGGTTCTGAGCACTTGCAGTTGGCGATAATATCTTGCTGTAATTTGAATTAAACCACTTGTAGCAGCGCTCTGTTCTCTTGATTTCATTTAGGCCCAGTGGGTGTCCTGTCTTCCTGGAATTTGTTGGCTATCTAATGAGAAGCAGCCCGGCAAACCCAGTTAATGAATCAAGCCAGCGGGTGACAAAGGGCTGGGTGGAAGTGGGCTGTGAAAGGGGACTGGGGGGACCAAGGGAGGGGTTTGTAGGGCCATTGATACGGGCTCCTTGTGCATCAGGTGCTGTGTGAGCCTCATCCCTGCAGCCACCCCATCTGTGTCCCCCTCGTCCCTCCACAACCTCTTGGACCCAGTGCTGAACTCGGGGCTCATCCCTCCCACTCCTTGGGCTCTGGGGTTTGATCCTTGCCATCTGCCTGAGGTTTCCCTATGAGAGGAGGATTTTGCCCTTTTGGGCAGCCCCATGGCCCTAGGGGGGACCCGGGGTATGTGCCAGTGCTTGAGGCCACCACCAAACCCAAGCGAGCAGCACGGTGCCTGGTCCCTTGCTGCCCTGCACCAGGCTGTGGGATGCTGGGGTGGGGGGGTGTCAGATGTGCTCCATGTGCTGCTTGCTTGCAGGTTGTGAGCATCACTGGAAGCTGGGCACGCAGCCTAGCAATGAAATGGTTCCTCCTCTGCCAAAAATAAAAAGCCAGGGGTGTTGCCAATGGGGTGTTTTCCATGGCCTCTGTTCTGTCTCCAGGAGAGCCACTTCCACCAGACCTGTGCCAATGGTTCCTGGGCAGGGAATGTGTCCCCCAAGCCTTGGGTCCCTCCTAACAAGCATTGCTCTCATCAATCTCATTTTGCAAGTGGGGCAGGAGCATCAAACAGTGATGAGGAAGCAGCCTGGTGTGGTGCTGCAGACCTGGAGCTGCTTATGGGTACCTTGGGAGAAAGAAAAGGGCGATCATAATGGCACAAGGAGACGATGTTATCGCTTTGTGTGCAGGGGGGGAATTAAGAAACAGGAGGAAAACTGCTTGGGGTTTTGTGTATTAATAAGAACAAGGGGGGAAAAAGGTTTCCAAAGCAGTGCGAGTCGCTGAGTTGAATTACAAAGGCTGGGGTCGAATGATTAACAACTCCCCCCACCCTGAGCTTCTGCATCGCCATCATTACTCACTCCAAACCCGAGGCTTCTCGGTTACATCGCCCGGCCGTTCTTTCCATTGACTGAAAACACATTCTGACTGAAAACAAACTTTGGATCCCCGAGGCTTGGCACGCCGCGGGTCCTGCGCCGTGTTTAATCAACGGGAAGCTAAACACTTTCAATCTGTGATGGCTCATTTGGAGAGGGAGCTTTGGGCCCTCGCTAGGTGCCAGATATAATAACTCTCCCTTTTTCTTTTGCTGAGGCCTACTCTTATAATTTTGCTATTTTTCAATGTCAGACCCATCTTTTGAAGAAATTTTATTGGATTTCCTGCTCGACTTCAGCGCGGATTTTTCTTTCCTTGGCAGGAATATCAAGCAGAACAGGGGGGAAAAACTCAATCATAATCTTGGAACGAGCGTCCTTATTAGTTAGGATTTCTTTGTCTGTTTGCACAAACACGTTGAGAGCCCTGCAGGTCAGCGGGCCCCTGGCTCTTGTGAGCCCGACCCTGGTGCTGGGTGCTGCTGTCTGCCCATCTTAAAGCAGGGCTGGGGGTGCTGGTGCTGGTGCAGGCAGGGCATGGCAAGGGTAGGCTGGGGGGAGGCTCTTCTCCCATTAGCCAGGGTGGTTCTAAAACCTTTCCAAGGTTTCTTATAGCTTTGGCTAATCCTTCATCCCCTCAGGAAGCTGAAGAGAACCAGAGGGCAGGTCTCTGATGCTGGCTCTGCTCTGCCACGGTTCCTCATGGAAGTGGGTGTTCAAGGACCAAGCACATGTGCTGGGTGCTGGCTGATGGCCCTGCGTGCACCCAAGGGATGCCAGGGGAGGGATTCCTCTCTGCCCACCAAGCTCCCAGGTGGCTGGGAGCAGGTCTGAGCTGCCCAACCCTGGCTGTGTCCCCAGAAGCTCGGGGGATCCACAGGGATGCGCTTGCTTCCTCCTGCATCCCTCTGGTTTATAAAGGCCTCTGGTGCCTGCATCTCTGCGTCCATCCCTGGTCTTGGGATTCAAAGCTGGCCTGGCTTCCAACCTCTATCCTGCACTGCCAATCCCTGCGCTTCAGATGAGGGTTTCCACAACCAATCCCTGCTCCCACCTCTTCCCAAAGCAAGCAAGGAGCAGAGCTCCTGCCCTCTTAGCAGAGCAGCTTTTGCTGTCTCAAGGCTTTCCAGGGGCTCTCAAGGCTTTTCCTCCTTCTTCTCTGTCGGTGTTTGAGGTTAAGAAGCCCGCTCCAGTATTCAATAAATCGCTTGGCATAGCGTACGCCAAAACAAGAAAATGGAATTCAGATTAAAGTCAGCCTCTGGCTAAAATGATAGTTTATTAAATAAACTGCAGCGCTGCCAATCAACCCTGCTGGCAAGCAATCCTCTGACATTAATCTTTTTTTGATGTGATTTAGGGTACACCTGGGCCTTTGTAGAGTATCTCCCATAATTTCTTTCCCATCTCTCTGGATCAAGCTGCTGTGCTTGGCTCCGTTGACAAATTCCCCAAGTAATCCCTCAAAAGATTGGAGAAATGCTCCAAACGCTCCATTAAATTTATTTTCCGTGCTTTAAGAGCCCCAAAACTATGTCCAATAAATAAAGTGTTCACTGTGATTTATTGAAATGCTGCTCTGATTTAGAGTTATAGGCAGGGAGAAATATGTCACCCCTGGGAACTGGAAGACCAGCCTCACAAGCGAGACCAGATGTGCCGGTGGAGGATGGAGGGGAGCACAGCCAGGACGGAGGGGGGTGCTCCCAAACCCCATGCATTCTTTGCTCCCTGCTCCCAAACGCCAGCACAAAAGGTCCCTGCTCAAGTTGTCTTGCCTGAGAAATTTATTGTGGTTGTAGTTATTGGGGGAACCATCAAAAGAGTAATTCTGGCCCTTGTTTTTGCAGGGGCTTTTTGATAAATCTGATACTTAGAAATATGCCTCCCACAAGACAGGAAAGCCATTGAGTTAAAATTAAGTAATCTGTCAGTAAACTTGCTGGAATCAAGGCCAAAATGAAACCCATGAAAGCAAGAAGGGGAGAAAGGGGAGCCTGTGCTCTGTGTCAGCCCAACCAGGGCTGTGGGCTGCCTGTTCCGCAGGTAGTTCTGTCATCCCTGCCGATGTTCGAGGCCAGGCTGGACAGAGCCTTGGGTGATGTGGTTTAGTGTGAGGTGTCCCTGCCCATGGCAGGGGGTTGGAACTGCATGATCTTAAGGTCCTTTCCAACCCAACCCATTCTATGATCCTGGTTATAAGTGAGGAGCTGTTTTCAAAGGGGCTCTGTTTGGCTGATTGCTGCAAGGACTCCCTGCTCTGTCCTTATGGCACACCACGCTGCTAGCATCCATCCATCTGCAGTACTGGGTACCTCTGCCCCATGGAACAGCAACATCTGCCTGCGCCTGCCCACCTCAGGGCTCACCCTTTGGAACATCCCAACCATGTTCTTGCCTCAGTTCCCCCCCCCAGACCATCCCAAATCCTAGGATGTTGGGCCCTGCATGGCTCCCGCTGGCCTGGCCGCGGTTCAAAGCGAGGTGTGCTGCACCACCTGTGTTTACACTGCACGAGCTGTGCTTTGCTCTAATAAAATCATTTAATACACTCATAACTCTCTTGGCAAGGGCCGTGCTGGTGGGGAACGGAGCAGGCTGACGGCAGCCCGATGGACACGATAACTCCGGAGCAGGGGATGCTCCGAGCAGGAGGCAACATGAAAATCCAGTCTGGAGCTCCAGCCTTGCGGGAAGGCAGACGGCTCCTCTGATGTGCAGCCAAGCTCCCCAGGCAGGGAGGGCACGGGGAAGCAGCAGGAGTGCTCACTGGTAAGGATTCCCAGCCGGAGAGCCTGTGGCTGGAGAACTGGGATCAGGGAAGAGGGAGCCAGCTCTTCCAGGTTTGATCCTGACACTGCCTGGGTGCTCACCCGCAGGCCCCGGTGCTCAGCTGGATGGGGAGAGTGTTTGGGTATCCCTGCCCCAAAATCAGCATCGTACATGAGGGATGCAGCTAGCCCTGCTGTGGGTGTGCGCTTCAATTGGCCAAACTAAAGGTGGTACCCAAGGCTGAGGAGAGAGTCATGCGATTCCAGCCTGGCACCCAAAATACCTTTCTTACACCCCCCAGTTTGAATGAGAAGAACCATTCAAACTCAGGTCTTCCAGTTCTAACCCAGTCTGATAAGCAGAGGATAGGGGGATGCTCTCGGGCAGCTCAACCCCACAGCAAACAGAGGAAGGGTTTTATACAAGTCTGACAGATTGGGGCCTATAGGGATGCTGGGGAGGGACTCTTCATTAGGGACTGTAGTGATAGGACAAGGGGTAACGGGTTCAAACTGAAACAGGGGAAGTTTAGATTGGATCTGAGGAGGAAATCCTTTCCTGTTAGGCTGGTGAGGCACTGGAATGGGTTGCCCAGGGAGGTTGTGAATGCTCCATCCCTGGCAGTGTTCAAGGCCAGGTTGGACAGAGCCTTGGGTGCCATGGTTTAGTGTGAGGTGTCCCTGCCCATGGCAGGGGGTTGGAACTGGATGATCTTAAGGTCCTTTCCAACCCAAACTATTCTATGATTCTATGATTATTGGTGCTGCAGAGAGGGATGAAGGGGTTTATGGGGGTGATGGGACCGTATCTAGGGTCTGGATCAGGCTGTGGTGTGGGCAGAGGGGAAGGTGAACCAAGGGGGTGAGCAGGGAGAAGGAAAGGGGGGGGGGGAAGGAACAGAGCGAGGAGGCATGTGTGTGACTGGTAAGAGAAACAGGATTCATGGTAATTTCCTGCCAGATGCCTGAGCTCCTCCAGCACGCAGACGTTTCACATGCGAAATATCAAAGCGTTCCCAGGAACAAATGTACTTCCTGCAGCTCCTCAGATCTGCCTCCGTGCCAGGGACGCCAGGAAGAGCAGCATTCCCGTCCCGGGATGTTGTAGGGTTTTATAGGGGCATCACCCCACGTTACGGTGCTGCTGCAGGCGTTCCCTGTGAAACGTCAGGCTGGGTTTTGGGGCAGCGCTGCCTGCGTCTCCCCGAGCGCTTGTACACAGATTGGTCCTGACAGCTTGAATTAATACATCAGGGTGTCTGATCCGGGCTGGCGACGGGCCTTTGACCCTCTCAGCACAGTGCTGCTCCGGCTGAACGTCTCCCAGCCTCAAATTGATTTGGAGCTCTATAAACATCCTGACATCGGGGCTGGGAGGAGAGGAAAGGGGAAGGGAGAAGCTCCTCGCCACCAAGAAGGCGCTGCGCTGCACGCCACGATGGGGCAATGGGACAGAGACACAGGCTCCGTCCCGTCACCTTAAAGGCAATGCCTCTCACCTGGTTTCATGCTTCTTCAGAGTTCCTTTTAATGCCTTACAGAGTTGGTTCAAAATCTCAGTACCTATAAACCCCCCCTGCACATGAACTTGATTTGATGCTGGGTTTCAAGCTCTTTTTAATGCTTTTAAAGCGGTGAGGTTTGTTTGGTTTAACGTTTTTAGCATGGTTTAAGAGCTCCAAGGTGATCCCAGTGTTCTCCTGCCAGGCACCACCAGAACTTGCTCCTCACACCCTTGCTGAGGTGTTTTGAACCTCACTCCTGTTCACGTATCTCAGTGCTGGTGAACACGTGAGCCTTGAGGGTAGGAAACTCATGCAAAAGACCCAAATAGTCATAAATCAGTATTTAGCTGTGCACTGTTTATTATCCTCTATTTATTGTCTGTTGGCCTGAGAAGTTAATACTGACTCAGAACAAAATGTCAATGACTGCAGACCTTGAAGGCTGGGGAGGATGGATCCTGATTTAAACCCCCCTTGACTGCCGGTGTGTGGGGCAGAACTGGCAGCTCCTTAATGGGAGAAGGTGCTGGTTGGGGTTCCTCTTTGGCCATGGCAAAGCGTTGCTTTTGGCCTTCTTTGCCTGTTTTGGGGATGCAGAAGACCTTCCCCATGAAACCTTCCCCTTTTGCCTCTCTTCTTCTCCAGCCTTGCGTGGATCTGTGCAGGACAAGGGCATCACCCATTGCCACCAACACTTGGGAGGGTGGTCCCCAAGCGTGTAGCCATCCCACAGTGACCTTAGTGTGCATCAGACTGGTGGGATAGAGGGTGAGAGCATCACTTCATCCCTGCTCCTTCTCACCTCCCTTCTCTCAGTGCATGTGTGCCCGCGCCGCCCCGGCACCGGTTATCCCTGTGCCAGATTTCCTCCGGCTCTTGGAGCAATGGGATCAGTGCGGCTTCAAACACGTCCCAACCTGTTTCCTATTCAGCCCATCAAGTCCTGCTCCAGCCGGGAGCTGGCAGGGGAGGCATCGCCGTCACACCGCAATGGTTGGGGGGCAAAGCAACCCCATGGGGAAGGCGTTTGAGCTGAATTTGGCTGCTTTAGTGCTGTTTCCCTGCTGTGCCTTTATTGCAGCTCTCCAGGCCAAGCCTTTCAGGGGGCTCAGCGGGGTGGAGGAGGATGGGGTTTGGGGAGGGATCCTTGGCATTCCCCACCCGTTTCATGCCCCTTTGAGGTTTCTTAAGCAGGAGTTCCCGGTTGTTGGCCACCGTGGGAAGCCTTGGCTTGGCCACGGGTGGATTTCCTCAGCTCTGATGGGAAAAGCAGCAGCTCCCCATGGGCTCAGATCCACCATGGCTGTGGAGCCCCAATCCCTGGGCTCAGAGCAGAGCAGTGGCCCCACAAAGCCTCCTGCGTTCGGCTGGCCATAGGACCGAGCTGATGCCGAGCAGCCCTGGGATGGGGGGACCCGTCCTTTGGGATCGTGGTGTCAGTCCTGGAGCCTGCCCGCTCCCTGTCACGTCTGTCACTTCTCATTAGCACCTGTCAGCCGAGTAACACGACTTGACTGATGTAATCAGGGCCGACACCAACGGAGAGGATCTCCATAAACCTCACCCCACGCAGCTTCCCTGCCCACAGCTGCACCGGCTCTTTATAATGGAAGCTGTGTTTGGAAGTGCCTGGCACATGGGGAAAGGGGTGTTAAGACACCCTGGACCCCCCTCTGGAAACAAGGGTCTTGATCCAACCAAGAGCTCTGCAATGGGGCTGGACTCAGCCTGCTGGAGGGGAATCAAGATGCAGGCATCGCCCTGGGGATGCTGAGCAATGCCAGCGTGGCGGGTACCAGCGGAGCCCCGTGTGCTCTTTGAAGCACCCAGCCTGCAGGTACCCTCTGGCTGTAGCTTGCACCACGCTCCTGCTCCCTCCCTGTTTGGCCTCGGCAGCGCCTGACGCACTGTCTGCTGGCACTGTGGCAGGGCACCTACACAGAAGTGGATGCAAAGGGATTTGGGGTGTTTCTAGCTGCACCCGTCCCTCGCAGCCCTTCTGCAACCCCGTCCATTGGCGCTGGTTGCAGCCATGGTTGCGTGGTCTTGGGCAGCTCCTAGGTGGCTTCAGGAGGAGTTTGTTGGGGTGAGGTGTAAAGGCAACAGGGTCTGGGTTGGGTCTCATGCGTGTAAAGGGCACCCCCGCACTTGTGCTGGGCACCGTGGCCAGGGGCTCCCCAATGCCCTCAGGATGGCAGAGGTGTGGAAACGGGGCTGTGGGAATGGATCTGGGGGTAGGAGAAGAAGGAAAAACAGGGATTTGGGGTCACCTGAGGGTTTCTATGGCATGGGGAATAGCAGCCCTGAGGTCTCACCTCTCCCCTGCTCCCTGCCATCCAGACTGGCAACCGCACTCCCCTCCGGCCACAACAAACCCCAGCACATTCAATCCCACATAAAACAACATTGTCTTGGTTATTCCAAGGAAATTCCAGTCCCCTCTACGTGGGGAATCACAAGTTAAGGTCTCCTTCCTCATCCCCATATGGCAGAGGAATGGGGATGCTGCTGGGGGGATACGGGGTGTCCAGCACCCCAATAAGGGTGCGCAGAGAGGCGGTGGTACCCACCTGCCTCCCATCGGCAGGCACTAGGAGCAAGGAGCAAGGGTGGTGTGGTGGGGACAGCGCTGCCCCTGACCCCCATTCCTTGTGGATCCATGGATGTGGCAGGTTTGGGTGGGTTATTTGCCGAAAGTATGCAAGTGTCGTATGTAACGAGCAAGAGCATCCGGCACTTTGGGGAGATCAATACCTCTGCAGTTGTAAATAGCCCTGGAAATCGATGGGGGATGTGAAATGGATTTCATCCGTTTTCACTTTTAACATCTCTCTGTCATAAAAACGCCGTTTTAATAAATGGAAATGGGGAGATTCACTGCTGGGCCACGGCGGGGCTGGGGTTTTGTCACCCACCACCACCGTTCCTTGAGTCCAAACCACCCCGATGGGGCCGAACCGCTTCACCTCCTCCGCTGTCCCTCCTGCTCGGAGCCAAAGCCGTCCCATCACCCCATGCCCTGGCCTTGGCTCATGCTGCTGGCTCCAGAGCAGCACCCAATGCAAACTCATGGGTGCAACTCTCCCTGTGCAAAGCCTCTGAGTTACCAAACTGCCTCCTTAATCCCTTGAAGCAGGTATTTAACGCCATGCACAGACGTGTAGGTGTCGGGCCCGTGGAGCAGGGTGGGGTTATGCTCTCATCAGCTTTTCCCTTCCTTTCCATGGGGTTCTTACCCTGCAGACAAGGTGCACCATGGGGGGGAATGGCCCTAAACTAACATCTCACCTCCAAAGGATGTAAAAGAGCCCCCTCGCTGTACCTTGGGCAGCTCGGGAAGCTGAATCTTAACCTATTGGTAATTACTGTGCTGTAGCCACTTGTTAATTACAACACAAAACCTTTCCCTGTGCAAGAGATGGATTTATGGATGAAATTCCCTGATCACTCACGGAAGGGCCAGGATGGAACGTGGGCAGTAGCAGGGAATAGTTCTTGATTTGCCTTTTTGGTAATTATTTCTCTCTGGTTTAATATGGGCTGACCTTGGAGAATGTGAAAGGGAAGATGGAGCATTTGCTTTCAGAGGAGTCTCTCCTGTTGGTGCTAAGCATGGGGACCTGCTGGTGGAGACACTGGCTGCCCACACAGCACCAAGCCACCATAAAATCTTCCCTGATTTCCCAAGCAGCCAAAGCTTTGGGAAAGCAGCATGTGCAGGGCAGCTTCCGGCTGCGTGGGGCAGGATAGCGAGGGCTGCACTGCAGAAGTGAGGCTGGATTTAGGAGAAGAGGTTGGGAAGAGCTAATCCCTGTGGGGCAGCCACCCTGCTGGTGTTTGCCACCATGGATTTTGCATCTTCCCACTGGCATTTCACTGCAGGGCTTGGAGCGGATGCTGCCTGGTCTGAGCTGACACGGCTGCTCCTGCGGTCCAGCTCCTGTTTGCCCGGATGAGAGTTGGTTATGGGGCGGTTTCAAGTGTTTAACCTCTTATAACTGGGTTTCTGTGCTCACAGAACAGCACCAAATGCTGCTTCGGATGGGAGGAGAGGATGCAGAGCTTGTTTTGGCTGGGAACGCCGCGGTGCCGGTGCCCGCCGAGCCTCACCCTACCCAGGAGAGGGCACGGACGTGTCCGGACAGGGTCCCAGACATTCCTAGGAGCCACACACCTGAGCTCTGGGAGCTCCCAAGGCAATTAGCATCTCTGTGCTAACCGTGGGCTTCTCCTCTGTCTAGGCAACTCCTTCATCAAGGTGTGGATCTGCTTTTGTCTCCACGCAAGCAGCTCATCTCACGGTGTGTAATTAGAAGCTTGGCACAACAGAAACGCTTTGTACAGCGATCGCCAGCAGCCAGGTCAGTAATCCCCTCTGCCCCGGTTGCTTCCTCCCCTGGGGGTACCTCCAGCATGTGCTGCTTTCCCCACTCGGTGCTGTCACGGTGAGGTTTTGCTGGTGGCGTGGCCACGGTCAGAGCAGTCGGTGTCAGGATGCAGCCCCCGGGACGTGACACTTCTCGGAGCAGCATCGCAGCCCCTTCACTGGGCACTGGCCAAGTGATGCAGCGGCTCATCCCCGTCGCTGGCAGAGGCAGTTTT